TGGTGCTGATGAGGAATCTGAAACCCCTGGCCTGGTGCCTCAAGTGGGGCCGAGAGTCTGTGCTCCTGTGTGGGGGGGCAACTGAGTGTCTGTCTCCAGGGTGGGACCCAGGGAAGGCCCCCCTGGGGAGGCAGGTGCAGGAGTCACATGCAGGACGCCCAGGTGGGCTGCCTCACTTCTGCTAATGGAGCCAGCTGGGGGGGGGGTGTTCCCAGAGCGTCCCCTTCCTCTGCCAGGAGTTTTAGGAGTAACCACGACCTTCCAGAAAAAGGATGTGAATGTGTGTCTGCCCTAGAAATGACCATGCCTAGAATTATGTGAACACTCTCCACAGGTTTGTCAGGTTGGACAAATAAATACACAGGACTTTCAGTTAAATGCGAGGGTCTTCTGAATTGCCTAGGCCACCGAACATTTAGGGTGTTCCAAGGAAGTCCATACAAGACATAGAACAGAAATCACTAAATGTAGGACATGTCCTTGGTGTCTAGTGCCTGGAATTCCTGACTCTGGTTGTTACATTCTCATCTTGAGGAGATGGCTTTTACCTGCATTTCCAGCATCCTTAGGAGATGGCTTTTACCTGCATTTACAGCATCCTTAGGAGATGGCTTTTACCTGCATTTACAGCATCCTTGGCTTTTACACTCATGTGTCAATTATGTCCCCTGACCTCGCAGCTTATTTTTATGATCATATTAGGAATTAACTATTAAATCTAACCAATAGTTTTCTCTTGATCTTCTGTTTTTACACACCACCCATGCATGTACCAATTGAAAAATGGAAATTCCTGCCATCATTTTCTGAGTATCTAAATGTCCACAGTTTCTCATTTGGACTTTTTTTTTGACCCATCAAAGTATCTGACTGGGTAGAATGGATAGAGAACGTGAAGGAAGCCAACACGCACAGGTCCAGTGGGAGGGAGATAGGCTGGGACCTGAGAGCCACAGCACAGAGAGGGCCTGCAATGACTGGAACTTTATTTTTGCCCTGCATTTTCTTTTCCATTAGGAATTTAGTGGCAAACCTTTGGAAAAGAGTTGAACATGACCCATTAGTGCTGGGGAGACTGGGAATTGCTTCTCCTGGAAGCCAAAAGAATGTGGTGGTGGTTTATTGGAATGTGAGATGGAATAACTGATTCCCCACCCCACACACAGAGTTGTTTCCCCTGTTAGAAAATCTAGGTGATTGACGCTTAGTTTCTTACACTTTTTTTCACTCCTGTCCTGACTTTGAAGACAAAGATTCTGTTTCAGATTCCCTTAAAGAATAAACAACAATAAAAAATAGAGATATTAACAAATAATAATGCCCCAAGAAATTAAGGAGCCCTTTTATTTTCCAAATCCCATGACATTTTAATCCCATCGTTGCATTGTGGATTCCAACTCTGGAGACCCCAGGGCTGCTCAGGAGTCGTGTTCATTCTGAGAGCAAAAAAGCACTCCCAGGTCCAGCGACTGGCTGCGAGTCCCTCTGATGGAAGACACTAAAGTTCACAAAAGGTGAAAGGCGTGAAGTTGGCCACTGAGAAGTGAAATGCTGAGCTCTCGACCCTGAAGTGCCAGTTCTCCAGGAGGAGGAAAGCCAAGTGCACCTTAGACCTATCCAGGGTCAGGAAACGGCATGCTGGATTCCAAGTGGACCCTGCCCAGGGCCAGGAAACAAAGACTCGAAATGCTGGCAACTTTCATTAAAAAAAATCACATCATGGCAAGTTCCAACAGAGTAACTTCCATTTAAAACAGTCATTTCAACGCTTTAACAGGCAAAGGAAAGTCTAGCAAGACGCAAAGCCATGACTGGCCACGGGCCATGGTCAAACCCCGTCACACCACACAGAGCAAGCCCAGCAGGGTCCTGCTCTGAGCATCCACCCCCAAGGCTTTCTCTTCTYTTTCTTTCCTTCCTTTTTCTCTCATCTTCAGACGTGACAGGTGCACCGAGGATCCAAGCAAGGGAGAATCATCTTAGAGTAGAAGGGCCACTTTAAAATGTATGTGATTTCACATTTCAACAATGTTAAAATCACAGTCTGTTGAAATTAGGAATTTAATTCAGATAAAAATCAAACAAAATAAGTCTTTAAATTTATCTAGATATTTGTTCCACTAATTAATGGTTATGTTTCCCCATTAGCTAGTTATCTAAGGTTTCTGGAAACTGTGTGAAACAGGGACCCGCTGTGCCTCCCCAAGCCCGGCAGTGGCTCACTGGGAGATCTGTAAGCTGACTCTGGCTGCGCTCTCTGGGGCCGCTGGCTGAAGGTGCCATGTTAGTACCGTCTGTTTTGTTCCTGGAAGAAGACTTGGGTCTCGTGGATACTACTGCTGTTGACTTTGCAGGTTCCCAGATGGAGCACAGCGTTTTCAAATGGGCTCACCAACAAGGCCTAATGCCATGTTTCACAAGGCAAGAGGTTGGTTGGGTCAAATCTAACCCAGCAGATGTGACTCCTTAGTTGGATATTTAGCAGGAATCTGTTTCAATCTGTGGACTGTCCAGGGTATTATCAAACAAAAGGTTACCTGAACTCCTTGTTAGCATATTAACAGTATGAAGTAATAATACTCAGGTGTGTCTGGAAAACCACAGGTTCCAAGCGAGACACAACTTTAGAACTACTTATTGAGTATCATATTGTGATTTGTTGACTTACCACATGTAGTTTTGTATGTAGTGCAAAAGATCAGGTTATCAAGTCTTCCAAATCTGGCTAATAGGATATGCCAAGTGAACATACAAAAGTTCTCTGAATCCTATGCTTATGTATATGTACCACATACAGTATAGATAAGCTAGCATCCTAATTTTGATCACATTCAGAATAGTGTTGATGTAAATACTGCAAAAAGAATTTAATAGTGCAACAAAAAAATCTGTAAACATGCCTTTGGCATGATTTCCCTGTGGATTATACCACCATATACAATAAAGATAAATGAATACGATATCTAAAAGGGCTAATGTCTAACTACAGTAGCATGTACTATTTTTTAAAAGAATGGAGGTCTAAAGCACACTGCTGTGAAATTATTAACAGAAAAAAGAAAGAAGGGGAAAAAAAACCTCCTGAATAATTAAAGACAAAATCCTCCTCTCATTTGGGTTGAGATTTTTCTTCAAATCTTTATAAACTTTGCCTGTGTTACTCTCACTCTTGCATTAGGTTAGTTCAGTCCCAGGCTGGAGACATTATTTACACGTTTGTGTTTTAGCAAAGACACTTGCAAATGTGGTCACATGAAGTCATGAGGAGATGTGCTGCAATGCAGGTCACCACTTCACGAACAGTCCGAGGCTAGCTTGCCGTCCCAGGATCTGTGAGTCCCAAGGTTGATACTCTCACAGGATGAAGCACACGTGAGCATGATGGTGGAGAACTGGGTCTCAATGGCAAATGTCTTCCGTGGGTGACTCCATGAGCCTGCCTGAAGAGCCAGCTAGGCTTACGTGTGTGCGCATGTGTGCACGTGGGTGGGGGCTCACGTGGGTGTATGCACTGTTCACGAATTCTCAGTTGTGTTCTGCTTGAATGAATATGCAAATCTGTCTTGGTTTGAATAAAATGAGCATTCACCTTTTGCACATTTAATCAATCCTGGACCATTTACTCTCTTCCCCAAAGAAATGCAGGGCACTGGGCTCCTAAATTTTGCCAGAGGCAAAATGTTACCTCTGTAACACTGAGCTGTATGAGATGTATTTAAACACTGAGGTTTTTTTTTTTTTTTTACATGTTATGAGATTATCAAATTTTGTTCCTGCAACAAGAGTTTTTTTTTTTTTTTTGGGGGGGGGAAGGGGTACCAGGGATTGAACTAAGGAGCACTTAACCACTGAGCCACATCCTCAGCCATTCTTTGTATTTTATTTAGAGACAGGGTCTCACTGAGTTGCTTAGGGCCTCACTAAGTTGTTGAGGCTGGCTTTGAGCTTTCGATCCTCCTGCCTCAGTCTCCCAAGCTGCTTGGATTATAGGCGTGCACCACCGCGTCCGGCTCAAGAGGTCCTCTTGCTTATGAATTGCTTGCCCTCATCTCCTCTTCTCTCTCACAGCCCACCCAAGCGCATAAACTACCACCTCTGAGCGAGTGTTGTATATTGCCATAAGACTTATATTTTCTTTGTGGTGACCATGATCATCCAGCTGTGTTCTGAGCTTGAGGAGACAGCCACGAGTCTCAAGAGCTCTCTGTGGACATCACTGGATAATTCTCTGCAGTTCCTTTGTGGGCAAGCTATTTTAATAGGCAAGAGGTGAAGTGCCTGAAAGAAACGTTGGTCAGCTGTAAGAGCTCACGAGAGGACGGGTCTGGAGGCCAGGCACCGGACCCACAGAGTTAGTTCTCCACAGATATTCAGAGATACAGACAGTAGTCCTGCAAGGTCAGCTGGTACCCGATGATGCTGTCAGCTGTTCAACCACATTTTTTTTTTAATAGAAAGGGGCTTCAGACATCCCATCAAAATATTTAGTGGGAATAACAACATAGGGACATGGAATGTTTTTGCAATTGTTAATTCCTGCTTTGACCAATTCAGTCTGCTGAAGAATGGTAAACATGGAATGGCTGTATTTTGTGAGTACAGTCCCTCTTGAAGCATTACCAGATAGCCATCATTATATATAACATTTTCTCTGCTTGGACAAAAAGAAGATATATTTTAGAGCAATAATACAAGTGAATACTGACCCACATTTTAACCCTCAACAATAATGCCTTTGATACTTGGATTAAATAAATACCTCATATTCTAGCTGACATTCCTGTAGAGAAAAGCATTGCCTTTCAAGATCAGCATTGCTCAATGTCTGTCACTTAGCAGGACGTCATTGCTATTGCGCTACACCCCGTCCTTTGAAGTGCATCCCCATCTCAGAAAACTTGAATTCTTAGAGGTCACTTCCAAGGAAGCACTTCAAAAGAACCCTGTCCAGGGGGAAGCGCTTGTTTAGCCTCCAGATGAAAGGGACCCGCGGCCTGAGCATGTCCACACTGTGTGTGGCGTGTGTCACACGTTTTCCTTTTCACAGCAAACATGTGTTTGAAGGGAGCCCGGATGTGGGGCCGGCTCTGGAGGGGAGCCCAGGCGCCACCCCAGGTCACACGTTGCTCTGCTGTAACAGAAGGCTCCTGAGCTCGCGGTCCCTCTGATCCTCCTGCCTGTACTTCTCCTCCAGCTTCTGCTTCTCGGCGTCCGCACAGTAGAAGGTGCAGTCTGGGCTCTTCCGGATCTGCTCGAACTGACTGAAGTCGGCCACGTACTTTCCGTTTTTGGAGAGAGAAACCACAGGCACAAACTCGAAACCCCAGTGGATCTCCTCCGGGATGTAAGACGTTCTGCTCTGGCAGACGGCGCTGGTGGACTCCACGGTGGCGTTGAGGAGCACCACCAGCTCGAATTCCTTCTCCTTTAGGTTTTGGGGTGTCAGGTCCCTCAGGGGGCTGCTCTCATCCAGCACGTGGTAGAAGGTCATGGGCAAAATGAGGAAGGGGCTCTCGGAGGAGGAGTCCACGTGGAATTTGACGGTGGCTTGGTTGAGGAGGATCCGCTCCCCCTCCTTGGTGACGTGGGTCTGGAGGAGCTTGCCCGAGAGCTGGCACTGGATGAGCAGGCTCTTCCTCATGTTGGCCACCTGGATCACCAGGCACAGCTTCCCGTTCTGCTTGGTGATGACCGCGCAGTGGCTGAACTTGATGGTCTCGGCCCGCTTTTTGGGTCTGGCGATCTTGGCCAGGAAGGTGCCCGTGATGAAGATCTCGATCAAGGTGGTGATGACCAGTTGAGCCACCAACAGGAAAATGGCGTGCGGGCATTCCTCCGTGATGGAGCGGACTCCGTAGCCGATGGTGGTCTGGGACTCGAGGGAAAAGAGGAAGGCCCCCGTGAGCGAGTCCACCTTCATGATGCAGGGGGTGTGGTTGGAGACGGACTCCCTGGACTCTAGGTCCCCGTGAAGGAACGCGATGGCGTAGTAGACCACTCCGAAAAGGAACCAGGTCATCACAAAAGTGGCAGCAAACAGGGTGAGCTTGTACCTCCACTTCATGTCGATGACAGTGGTCCACAGGTCCTGCAGGTACAGCAGGTAGATGCCGTCCACCTTGTCGATCCTCACGTTGCTGTGTCCGCTCTTGGACATGACCCGGGGTCTGCTGGCCTTGAGTCCCGCCCCAGCAGTGTGCTTCACCAGGGGGGCACCGGACATACTGATGTGAATGGCATCCATCGCCCAGCTCTTGAGACCACCTATGGAAATGACAAAGGAAGATGTCACARTGATGTGTTATGGAACTTCTTAGAGAATAAGGTCAAGAAGAAAGTCTGTACGTGTTCAATACAGTCCTGATTTTTTTTTTTTTTAACCAACATGTTCTGTCTGTGGTTAGTTGAATCTGTGGATGCAGACCTATGGACTGAATTTCAGACCTATGGAAGGGGAGACTTGTGAAGGGAGACCAGTGGGTGTGGGCTGGAGGTGGCCAGGAGGGCAGAGCAGGGAACCTAGGCTCCGAGAACAGCAAATATGGGTAAAACACGGACTGTGCAATTTATCAGCTGTGTGACCCACAAGATATTTAAACTCTCTGGACCTCAGCTCTTTAATCTTTAAAATTGGAATCAATCCCGCTCTTCAGGGTGTCTGTGAGGATTAAATGAGATGGAGAGCTGCGATCACACACGGTTCTGCATGCATCTCAGGGCACACTATGAACATTACAATCAGCTATCATGATTTCTATTCTAGAAAATCAGATATTTTCCAAGCAGCTAAAAGCTGCCTCCATAGAGAGTTTTTGATAGAGTAATGGGGAATATTGGTACAAGTTTTTACAACTCAAACAATATCAATAAAATTTTTAAATTTTTTTTTGTGCTTGTTCTAATTAGTTATGCATGACATTAGAATGCATTTTGACACATCGTACATAAACAGAGTATAATTTCTCAATCTTCTGGTTGGACATGATGTAGAATCACACTGGTCATGTAATCATACATGTACATAGGGTGTAATGTCTGATTCCTTCTATTTTCCTTCCTATACCCATATCTCCTCCCCTCCCTTCACTCCTCTCTGCCTAATCCAAAGTACCTTATTCTTCCCTAGCCCACCACCCCAACCTTATTGTGAGATAGAATCTGCATATCAGAGAAAAGATCTGGCCTTTGACTTTTTTAGGGGGTGGACTGACTTAAGATTTATCTCACCCTAGTCAGAATGGAAATTATGAAGACAAGCAACAAGAAATGCTGGCAATGATATAGGGGAAAAAGCACACTCATACACTGCTGTGCAACCATTATAGAAAGTGGTATGGAGATTCCTCAGAAAACTTGGAATGGAACCACCATTTGACCCAGCTATCCCACTCCTTGGTTTATACCCCAAAGAACTTAAAATCAGCATACTACAGTGACATAGCCACATCAATGTTTATAGCAGCCCAGTTTACAATAGCCAAACTATGGAACCAACCGAGATGGAATGGGTAAAGAACATATGGTATATGTACACAATGGAATATTACTCAGCCTTAAAGAAGAATAAAATTATTCATTGGCATTTGCCAAGGAATGGATGGAGCTGGAGAATATCATGCTAAGCAAAACAGATTTCTCACCTACCATACGCCCCATATTCTTTGTTACAATTTTCCTCCCTGACTCAATGAAAAGTGTGAATCTATGACCTCTTTTAGTTCTTGATGACACTGGAAAAAAATTCAATTATCAAACAATCAAAAATATAGTTACAGCAAATTCTGCAGTAGGACCCCAAAGAGAAATTTATGTAAAAGAGCACTTGAAAAAGTAGGTAAGTGTGGGCATCTAACATGGGATCAGAAACACCTACCTGGAAGCTGCCCGGGCTCTCACAGCTGGCCCCAGGGACGCCTGCTCTGTGCTAACAGCTGGGAGCCAGCTGGCTGGGCACTGGCTCCTTTAGCACCTCCCCGGTGACTGAGATGGACTGTCTTGACATTCCTCGAAAAGGTTAACATGTGACTACAGGATAACTTCACCTGGTCGCCAGGGTGTTTTCCACCTCACCAGTATTTTAAGAATTAGAAAAAAAATTTCCTCTTTAAAAAGGAACTGATACTGAGTGGTTTATGATTCATGCGGTGACCTTTTCTGTTAGAGGGGCATGGTCCCAATAAAAGTCTTAGAAGTAATCCTCCAGGAAAAACCCTTCAAGGAAATGGAAAGGGTGTCCACCTGAGCCCACACCTGCTCAGGATGCAGTGGGCCAGCTGGGCATTTCAATTTCCTGCTACTTTATGAAGGGTACATCGTTTACTAAATGTCCCCTTGAAGCGACTTTCTTTTCCTGGAAAGCCCCTTGTCAGTTCCACTGCAGAGAGGGGCTGTCAGTTATGCAGAATCCCTTTTACGGGTGGACGCCTGTCCCACCGTCTTGGGATCCAGGTAGCAGGGAAGCCCAGGAGGTGGGCGGTGAGCACAGGCCTTCCCTCTCCTGTGCCGGGACCCACTTGCTGGCGTAAGGAGGGGAAGCGAGGCCAGCGGAGCTTTGCAGAGGGTGCACCCTGCCCAGGCGCCCAGATGCAGAGGCCAGCTCGCAACATGAGCTCTGCCAAAGGCCAGCACGGCTCACACCAAGTAACTGCACGCACTTCAACCGAGAAAGAAGGAAACGKCTGTAAAGTGGCTGCCTCAACCCAGGGAGGTAAAAACAGAGGCTTAAGTTCTCAAGCGTGCGTGGACACCCATGTCCTGTGGCCACAAGAGACCTCCCAGCTCAGCCTGCTGCCGGCTTCTGGGAAACCTGGCCTTGTTTCTGGAAGGTCGGGCCCCGGGGCTCTGCCCCAACCTCTCCTCCGCAGGGGCAGCGGCCAGGCTTGGGACGGCTTCCTGTTCCTCTGCTGGGAGCCCTGGGGCTGTGGGCCCGCACACCTGGCACTGGGGTGGGTGGCCTCCCCAGTGCCTCCCCTGGGGGGTGATGGACATAAATCACAGAACAAGACCTATGGCCTGTGCGGGGACCGGGTCCCCAATCTCTCTGGAAGACAGAGCAGCTGGTGGACATCGGTTGGGGGACCTGCCACCACCACTGTCCCTCTCCCTCCCCTGAGTGCCCTCTGCCCTCAGACCGTCTGCTAGCTGGTCACTCACTTGGCAGGTCACAGGGAGTCTTCTTCAGGGCAGGTGACACGTCCTCGGTCCCCTTCACCCACCTGGCTACCATGGGACTCTGCTCCTGCCTGGAAGAAAGAGGGACACGTGGTGTTCACAGGTGGCTGCTCGGAGCACCCAGCCAAGCTGGCCCCCGACGGTCCCCGAGGGCCACAGCCCTGGCGTTTACCTTCCGCTCCCTGGTCATCTGGCACGGTGCCCAGACTAGGGCAAAGGCTCAAGGAAAGTTTGAAGAATGAAACCGAAGCCACCCCCACAGCCCTCCCGCAGAACCCCCAGCGCCTGGAGAGAGCTCGCTGCCAAACCCGCCGGACGGACAGGGTTAACCCACCCAGGGAGGCCCCCGGCGCTGACCTGCGCTCAGGGAGGCAGGAAGGGGAAGTGCAGAGGAAGTCAACAGGGAGCACTGGAAGGAAGAGTCCAGAATAGTTTACCGCCTGTGGAAACGCAGCATCGCGGCGTTGAGTCATAGAGCGTCCAGTGGAGAGCGGTCACAGCCGTCCCCTCCGACACACACCGCACGGAGGAGGAGATCGCGGCCTGGCAGCTGGGTGCAGGGGGAGGAAGGAGGTCCCGAGGCTTTGGAGCTAAGCCAGCCTTCTCGTTAGGACAAAATCCTCCCCACGCTTCAGATAACCGCTCTAAACCCAAGAGGCTCTTTTGCAGCCTACTTATTCCTCTATCTATGTATCTATCATCTATCTTTCTGTCATGGCTCTACTTACCTACCTATTTCTATTTTTATTACATACCAATCATTAATCTGTCATCTGTCCATCTGTCATCCATCTAGCTATCATCTTTTTATCTTTTATCTTTTTATCCTTCATCTTTAATCTTTCTTTTTTAACTTTTATTAATTTTCTTATTTATATATGACCCTGGAATGCATTACAATTCTCATCACACACATAGAGCACAGTTTTTCATATCTCTGGTTGTGCACAAAGTAGAGTCACACCAACTCGTGTCTTCATACCTGGATTTTGGATATTCATGTCCATCACGTTCCACCATCATCTGTAGTCTCTCAAACCACCGTTTTCCACCTGTGTCTCAGGCACCTTCCTACCTGTCATCTGTTGCCTGTCATCTGTCTGTCTACGCCCACAACTTTCACCTGTCTCACACACGCACACAGCTCATGCTTATTTCTGATCTACCATTACTTCCAGTAATTACCGTTCTAGAGTCAAACTGTCCCCAATCACCAGCCAGTGTGGCTTCCTCCAGGCTGATCCCAGTGTGGTCACAGCATGTTGGGCAAACTCTGTTCCCACCCAGAGTTTCCTCTGCGTCCGTGACTTGTATCAGTACTTGTCATCGGTATTGATGCATGCTCTTAAAATTAATAGTATTTGTCCTTTTATCAGGACATTTACTTCTTTGTGGACACACCTTATTTCACATGCTGTCATCTTACTGCCTTGGACTGTTCTCCCTCGGTGATTCTGGGTTCCACCTGTTTAACTTCTAAGATGTTGAGAGACAATAACAGTTTTCCAAAACTTCATGATGGGAAGAATGACCAAAGAATATTCTCTTCTAATTCCCCCCTCTCTTAATCCTCCAGATCAACAATATTCTAGTGCAAACCACAAGCAGTTTTCTTGAGTTTCTAGACATAATATTCCTTTCTCTGGCATTTGTGAGGTTGTTTTGATCTGTGGGCTGGGATTTCAGTTCCCAGATTGGCAATATCATTATTGAAGTGAAGTCCCTGGAACTTTTGAATGGAGGGGACAATAGTGTCCTTTCTTACTTCAAGGCAATAAAAGACACTTGGTGTGATATCATTTAGCCCTGATTTTGCACAGCATTTGTTTTCTGGAGATTAAGGGGAAAAAAGGAACATATTTTTAAAATGGAACTGAACAGTAGGCACATTGAAAAAAAAATTAGTTGTACAAAGAATGTTGGAAGAGCTACACTTTCCGGTTGGGGCAGAAAAATGAGATGGGGAGACAGAACAGGAGTCTCCATCATATTTTCAGGGAAATTCTATCAAAAAGACAGGCTCTTGTCAGAATGGAGGGTCATAGAAACCAATCACGGCAAGCGGGAAGACAGTATTCTGTCAGAAAGAACACTCACGAGAGGCCCTGGGGCTACTAACCAGACAGAGGAAACACAGAGGTCAATAGCTAGCAGGAAGAGCATCAGGACAAGTGGGAAGGATGCTAATAAACAAAACAATAATCAAAATAACTAGGAGAGACTTAGATGAGTGGTAAGAGTAATGAGGGTCAAATCAATGGCAAGAATCATCACCACAAATAGACCAGAGGCTGCCACCTTCCAGCGGACATTTTCCATAGCTGTGCTAACCCTCACAGCAGCTCTGCCAGGTGAGCACCGTCGTCTCCCTGACGAGGACACCCAGGCCCAGAGAGGGGAAGTGACTCATCCAGGTCCCAGCCTTGGGCACATGGCAGTCAGACACCTCCCTGACAGAAGCCTCAAGGTGCCCCTGCACCAGAAAGACCGAGGGCTGAGGTCCTCATTTAGCAGGTCGAGGTGGAGCCTGAGGACCTGGATGTCTAGCAAGTTCCCGGTGAGGTGGCTGCTGCTCCTACACACACTCTGGGAACCATTACACCAATGTGGGGCTGTCCCCCTGGGGAAAACCCTCGTCCCTCCCTGAGCCTCAGCATCCTGAAATAGCAMTACTGCTTGCAGACTCCAGGAACACCTGCAGATTGTCTCCAGGAACACCCAGCTCTGTTCTCCTCACAGATGAAGACCTCTCCAGTGACCCAAGGCTAGGTATGAATTTTTTAAATCCAGGTTGTATGGAGAATCTGATCAAAACTGTCACATGTTATTTATATTCATTATATAAACGTTATGCAAATATTATGCTAGGGAAAATATAACTATGATGACACTTTTATTTTATGTTAAATATATATTATAACAAATAATTCTAGCTAAAATTAAGTGCAGAGAGATTTCCACAACAGACTTCAACCCATCCCTTCTGGTAGCCATCCCCTGTTTATACAATACCGTTTTTTTTTTTTCTAAGTCTCAAGAATTAGATCTGCCACATGTCAAATGGATGAATTCTTAGGAAAAGAAAAATCAGTTTAAGAATGATTTTTCCCTTCCTCGTGAACACAACATTGAGACCTTCTGAAAACTTAGAGCCCCATTCAAATTTTGGAAGTTTTCAATTTCTGCCTCCCCTGGGAAACCTTCATTCTGTGTTCCCTGGTGGACACAAGCAGCAGAATTGTGTGTGTGTGTGTGTGTGTGTATGTATGTATGTGTGTGTGTGCATGTATATGTATATATGTGTGTGTGTATGTATATATATATATATATATGTGTGTGTGTGTGTATGTATATATATGTGTGTGTATGTATATATATATGTGTGTGTGTATGTGTATATATATATATATACATACATATACACACACACACATACACACACTATATATATATATTGTGTATATATGATGCATATGTATAAATGTATAATAGATATGTTATGTATTATACATATGTATCTTTTTTCACCTATGGAAACAATATAGGGGCACTAGCTCCTCAAACTGGAGTTTCTCACCCAGGTCGGCAGCGACCTCTTGCAAAGGAGGGGGTGTGGCTTGGAGGAATGACATTGCCATCGACTTGTAGCTTTGTTCTTCTAGACTGAAACAGCATGTGGAAGATCTGACTTTCACGCTCTGACAAAACATGGCTTCTCGTTTGCTTAAAAGGTTTTCTCTACGTGTCAAGTATTCCTGACACATCAATTTTTTTTTTTTGGATGATCTCTCTCTCTATTTACAAACCCAAAATACTTGGATTAAATTTCACTTTAAGTATACACAGGTTTAAATATTAAGGAGAATAAAATGCCTGACAAGAATCTACATGGGGTTCACTGAGCTCAGAATTTTTCAAAGTAATTGAAAATAAAACCAGTGAGGCTTAACTCTTCTCCTTGGGCTCCTGTGCCTGGCCACAGAGACACATGCCTAGGGACCTTTGACTTTGGCCATGTGCCAGTTCCTTCCCTGCTCTCCAAAGCTGTCCACGGGTCTCTTCAGAGGCTGGTCTGACACTTCTGAATCCATGGCTTTGACTTCATCACTGACGAAGAGCTGAGTGGACGAATGGCTTTGCCCAGGTGGTGTTTAAAAAGAACAAGATGACCGAAGGCAACTCAGCAGACTCCAGTGGGCAATCCTTTGGTTTTTATCTCCTGGGGAACTTTCATTGACCTTCTGCAAACTCACTTTGTCCCACAGGCCACTAAGAACTGTTGGAAAGAATGTCTGGAAACTGTGGAAATGCTCATTCTTCTCCATGAGAATCATAGGATGGGAGGGGAAGGGTGGCCAGAGGTGTCTGCACGTTTGTAAGCTCCAGCTCAATGACCTGTGCCTTAGGACGTGAAGGCAGAGCCTTACGGGGGGAGCTGCGGCACTCTGGGGCTGTTGTGGGTGGCCGTATGTTGCTCCAGGATTTTGCTGCCCCTCAGCTCGAGCCTTCCCTGGGCCTGCTCCTACAGGGGAGTGTGTTTCTACTTCCTGTGTCAGGGGTGGCCACGAGGCTTGCCCTGGCCAAAGGCGTGTGGGTGAGTGGCCATGACTCAACCTGTACCTGGGCAGAGACACTGGTCTCCTCACTGGAGTCTGCCATTGCTCTCGGGTAGGTCTCAAGATGGGCTGTCTTAGGATGAGATACCCAGGGCCACAGTTGATTTGCAAACAGGTAGGAAAGGGTCTTGCTGCTGTAAGCTGCAGAGATCTTGGGGTTGTTTGTTACAGAGGCAAAACCTAGTGCAAACCTGTCCACAGAGGTACCCTTAATTCTGTGCTTTTGTAGGTTGGATTGCATTTCTGACCTAAAAGGTACTGCATTTCAAGGAAAGACATGACATCCTGAAATACCCCTAATGCAAACTCCAAATGTTGGTCTACAATGAGACACTGAAGGAGACAGAATCCAAATTATCAGAATTGTAACTGGAAGAAAGGTTTGCCTGATCCCTGGGGACAATGTAGACAGAGTGGTTGATTCTTCTTGTGACATTAATTCTAAGTCAATATTT